AGAAAGGGTAAGTTGGAGATGGGGCAAAAATTGTTAAGATTGTCCAGAGCCACGTTAGGCTTTTTTGGCACAGGGGTAATGGCAGCAGTTTTGAGGACTGTTGGTACAACGTCAGTGCTCATGGATTCATGTAAAATATTGAGGACAATGGGACAGAGAGAAGAGAAACAGGACTGGAATAAAGTGGTGGGAATGGGATCTAAAATAGATGTGGTGGGCTTCATGTGTGTAACTAGTTTGTTGAGTGATGCTGAGTCAAGAAGAGAGAAGCTGGAGAGAGGGAAACCAGAGAAGTTGGATGAGGAGGGAGGAGGTATGGAAATGATATGCGTAGTGGAGAGACTGTGATGCTGTCAATCTTAGAACTAAAGAAATCTAAGAATGTGTTGCAAAGTTGGGATGAGGCAGGTAATGTGGGAGGGCAGTTTGGCTTGAGCAGTCTGTTGATGGTTGAGAAAAGATGGCTGGGGTTGTTTTGGTGATTTTCAATGATGTTGAATTGAACTTTTGTTGGGTGAACTGTTTGTGGAATGTTTTGTTGATTGAAATTTTGAACTTCAGTCAGCCATCAGCAGTGGTACTTTGTAACCTGATCATAGCAGATGAAACTAAGCAGAGTTGGTACTGGGATGGGAGATATGTGATCATGTGGGTGTTGCACTTTATCAGTAGATGATGTGAGTCCCTTCCTACATAAACAATGGGTTCCATTTTGAAGAAGATGCCATACAGATGCAAGGAATTGTTTTTATCATGGTACAACTTTACTTGAATATGGGTACTTTATGAATGGTTTGAATAATATCATGCCTGTAAAGTCTTACACAAACATATGACAAGCTGGTTCAGGAAAGACTGCAGCTACAACTGCCTAGCCACTAGAGGCCCTTAAAGACCATTAAATATCGTTATAAATAGAAATACTGGGTGAATATGAGTTAATTAATTGGATTATTGATGAAGATGCTTTCTTGGGTGTGATTAAAGGATGTGTAGTATTTGAAGGGCCTCATAGTGTTAATTTTTGGTTGGGTTTGGAATGGCGAACTGTAATCTTTCAATGATATTGTTACAACCTCAGCTTCACGCAGTCCCTCCGCAGTCCCCTTAAGAAGGCATGGACCAAGCCAAAACAGTTAACCAATAACCTTACTGTTCAGCACCACACCTCTGACTTTACCA